GCGGGTGCCCACCTCTTGCGGCCCCGGGCGGGCTCCTGGGAGCTGCCAGCCTTGTCCTGGGAAGAGGTGGATTACTGGGTAGCAGCGGGTGGCTGGCTCATGCTGTGCCAGGTGCAGGGTCTGCTGGCTGGGTGCTGGCAGGCTTGCAACTGGCGCAAGCACTGTAGCCAGACTGTAGCACCTTTAAGGGCTCTGGGGCCGGGAGGGGGGCAGAAGAGTTTCCCTGGTTTGGCCCAGAGTGGCCACCAGGGCAACCTGGGAAGGGCTAGCCTCTACTAGTTCGAATTAAGTGGCTACCCAGCCCTTAATTCGAACTACTTAATTCGAACTAGGCGTTACTCCTCGTAGAATGAAGTTTACCTAGTTTGAATTAAGCACTCTGCTAGTTTGATTTAAATTTGAACTAGCGGTTTGTACGTGTAGCCCCTATTGAAGTTAATTCGAACTAATGGCTGTTAGTTCGAATTAACTTTGTAGTGTAGACATACCCTGAGAGGTTAGCATCCGCATAGAACCCAAGAGCAATCTTAAACCGCAGACTAAATTAACTAGTTGTATGTACTTTCAATCAAAGGAAACTACAAACTCCCTGAAAAAATTTCCTCTGCCTTGCAACCTAGTCTTTGTCTTGCTCAGTCAGATTCAACCAGATGTTGAGGGGTATATAATGATGTGTCATCTGCATAGTGTTAACAATTTTTTATTTTCTGAAGTCTTCCATTGAGATGCTTGAGCCTATAAAGTGCACCAATTAGCAATGAAATCACAGATAAAAAAATCTGTCTGTGATAAGAATTCCTCTAGTCCAAATGTCTTGTAGTCTCTGATCATCAGTGTTAGCAGAACTCTAGCCATTACTATTCATACAAATATAAAGTAGTTGGATTTTTGAGCTCACAAGCATGTGCTTTGAAATGTACGTAAGTTAACAGCTGAGGCATAATTACATTTGCCCTAGTTTGATGGTAAAAGATAAATCACATGCCTTTTCACTTTGTTGGAGTGGATATAGTACATTTAGCCTTTCAGAAAGTCAAATGTAAATTTAGAAAACGACATGCCAGAACAAGTGAGCCAGATAGTAGGGAAAATTCATAGTCAATTTTGGAACTAATCCAGTCTTTTTTCGGTTATATTTACTTTCTTCCATATCTTTGACTTAGATTTCTACTGTACTACTCCTTTCCTGTCATACAGATTTCTTGAATGAAAGTAGCTGAGTTGGAACTACATTTCTATATTGGACAGGCAATTACAGTGGACTGGAATGAGTACTTTTCTCTAGCCTATAGCAAAATTTTATGGTAAACTTTTTTGTGGTTAACCTCCATACAGTTTAAACATTTACCTATTGGACCCTGTAACTCAGACTGTACACTATACAAACCTATACCTCAGACTGGTTATTAGTGAGGTATAGGCTATGATTATTTTTCTCATCCTCAGTATATTTCTGAAGAAAAAATTAAGAGATAAGCTATTTTTATTAATTACCTTTTTCATAGTAGTGCTGAATTTTAATAATGGAAAATTCCTATCACCTACACCTGGCTCTAGATATTTTTAAATTTTACTGTACTTGACAGTAAAAAAAAAAACAACCCCTAATAGTGTTTATGATGCACAAACCCATTTGTATTACATTAGTATTTTATGTATATGTCAAGTAGGGATGCAAAAATCCCATTTAATTAGTTAAACAGAGGCTTGTAGGTTGTAACAGATCAGTTTCCATCTGTCGCTACTTGGTTTAGGTAAAATAGGTCACTTTATCTATCTGTGGGCTTGTCTTCACTATCAGCCGGATAGACCTGACAGCGATTGATCCAGCAGGAGTCAATTTATCATGTCTAATGTAGATGAAATAAATTGACTGCCAATCTCTCTTCTGTTGACTCTGGTACTCCACCTCAATGAGAAGCACAAGGGGACTCGATGGGAGAGCATTTCCTGTCGATGCACCCTTGCAAGACACTGCAGTAAGCAGATCTAAATACATTTGCTTTGGCTATGCTATTCAGACAGCTGAAGTTATGTAACTTAGCCTACCACTAAAGATCTGTTACTTCAAATAAACCGAAATTGTACACGTTTTGGGAGAATCAGGGTATTCAGATAGAGATGTGTGATTTGCCTTGAGCTTTGAAAACAACTAAGTGTAAAGTATGGTTGTGTTTTATTATAATGTTTCTTGACCTTTTTGGAACAAACTCAGCTTTTCTTATTTCTCACAGATAGGCTGTGTCTAGACTGGCCACTTATGTATTGAATAACTGTTCACAGAGGCTGTGTCTAGACTGGCCACTTTTTCCGGAAAAGTAGCCGCTTTTCCGGAAAAACTTGCCAGCTGTCTACACTGGCCGCTTGAATTTCCGCAGAAGCACTGACGATCTCATGTAAGATTGTCAGTGCTTTTGCGGAAATACTATGCTGCTCCCGTTCGGGCAAAAGTCTTTTTCTGAAAAACTTTTGCACAAAAGGGCCAGTGTAGACAGCAGAGATTTGTTTTCCGCAAAAAAGCCCCGATCGCGAAAATGGCGATCGGGGCTTTTTTGCGGAAAAGCGCGTCTAGATTGGCCACGGTCGCTTTTCTGCAAAAAGTGCTTTTGTGGAAAAGCGTCTGTGCCAATCTAGACGCACTTTTCCGAAAATGCTTTTAACGGAAAACTTTTCCGTTAAAAGCATTTCCGGAAAATCATGCCAGTGTAGACGTAGCCATAAAGTAGCCTCTTTTTTTTAAAAATTAAGTAGATTAGATTGAAATTGAACCAGCTATAGGAACCTTCCCTTTCTATTTGTACAATACCTAACTAAACTAGACCAATACTTGCTTCTAGTCCCCATTTAGTGTAATAGCAGGATGGACTTTTGATGCAAGAACTGAAGTAAACTGCCTTTTTTTTTTCTTTTCTCCAGACTAGTGTGGTTAACTACATTGACCAGAGGCATAAGCCAGCAAGTGACCAGTTGTTTTTTGTGGTATTTGAATGGAAAGATCCATTTATACAGAAAGTTCAAGATGTAAGTAAATGCTTGTCTTTCAGACTCTTGCATGATTTAATTTAAAACTAAGAAATTCACAGCATACAATGCTCAGAAAAAGTTGGAGGAAGGCTAAAATTACCTAAGTAAAAGGAATTCTCCCAGTTCTCTCAAACTCATCTAAATGTTGCTGAGGTCAAGATCATCTTCTGCCTCTCCTTGATTTGATAATTTGCATAGTAATTACAGTATTATGAGTGTGCACACACACAACTAAATTGTATAGACAAAATTTGCTTCTAAATCTGAACTTTTGTTTGTTTGAGAATAGCCAGGAAGAAAACACTGATCTCAAGAGAGATTTAGAAAGGATAAAAATACCAAATCAGGAAAATGCTTTTAGAGAGTAGGAGCTAATAACATATGAAATGTATAAGGCAAAAACAATTATAACTTGAAATGTAATTTTATAATACATTGAACATAGGTTTAGTATAAGAGGAGACAAAAATAATAGTTTAACTCTTTTGCAGATTGTCACTGCCAACCCGTGGAACATGATTGCTCTACTATGTGGTATTTTCTTGGCTCTGTTTAAAGCAACAGACTTTGCCAAATTAAGCGTTAAGTGGATGATCAAAATCCGCAAGAGGCACCTGAAGAGGAGAAGTCAAGCAATGAACCACATAAGCTGAGGACTAAACCACCTTGAAAACATTTTTAATACACTGGATAAAATTTCAACTGTAACAATGCAGCAGTTACATAAAGAGTTGTGTGCTTTAAGTAAATTGAAATTTGAACAACCCCACTAAACACATGCCTTTTAAGTTATGAACTTGACAGCATTTCAGAACTGAATACAGACGTTTGTATTTAGTTTGAGTCTAGACAGCAGTTTAAGCTTTTCTGAGTAAGCAAAATGAGCTGCCCTTGCTACCATAAGAGTGTCCTGAATCAATAAAATGATTTGTTGCCCTCATTGTGATCTTCCCAGGCATAGTTACTATCTGTGAACAGTAAGGAGCAAAGCAATTCACACGATGAATGTAAAGCACTCTCTTAAATCTTCAACCTGTAAGCTAGAGCACAGAATATCTTGGATTTTTATCAAACATTTCACATTTAGTTCAAATGCAGGGACTGTGTATTAAAGCTGCTTTTAAAGCAAGTTGCGTTGTGCGCCTTAATACTTCATTTGTAGAATGATTCTTCCATAAAACAGATTCTCAAATACTTATGAAGTCAATGATAGTTTAGTGAGAGCAAAATTTGACCATAAATTGAGGTGTTGACCATTTGTTGTAGTTAATACACAAGCAAGTCTATAGAGTAGGGTTGCCAGGTATCCGGTATTGAACTGGACAGTCTGGTATTTTCACCTCCTGTCTGGTAAAAAAATTCAGAAAATACCGGACACCCTAAAATGTCCAGTATTTTCTGATTTTTTTTTCCAGCCAGGAGGCAAAAATTATGGGAGCTTACCAGGTCCTGCAGGGGATCTGAGCTGTCCAGCCCAGTGCAAGGAGGCAAGATGGCGGGCAGCCACTGGCAGCCCATTAGGACCAAAAAGCCTCAAAAGCATTTCTTAAAGAGACCACGCTGGGATTTTTTCTTAACAACTCTCAGGGTCCCCTTTTTTTGGAGGGAGTGGGGGGGGGAGGGGGCGGCCCTCGTTGGTTCCTTCAGCACTTGTACCAAGAGGTTATCTCCAAAACTTCCTGGATTGTTTGTGTACTGCTGTATTGGTCTCCCAACAGATGTTGAGGTGATTAAAGTCCCCCATAAGAACCAGGACCTGTAATCTGGAAGCATCTCTCTGTTTGAAGAAAGCCTCATCTACCTCATCCATCTATAGCACACACCAACCACATCACCCCTGTTGCTTCCACCTCTAAACTTAACCCATAGACTCTCAACAGGCTTTTCTCCCTCTATATACTAGAGCTCTGAGCAATCATACTGCTCTCTTACATCCAGTGCAACTCCTCCTCCTTTTCTCCCCTGCCTGTTCTTCCTGAACAGTTTATACCCTTCCATGACAGCACTCCAGTCATGTGAGTCATCCCACCAATTCTCCATTATTCCAATCAAATCATAGTTCTTTGACTGGGCCAGGGCTTCTAATTCTTCCTGTTTGTTTCCCAGGCTTATTACATTTGTGTACAAACATCTTAGATAACCAGTTGATTGCCCTACCTTCTCCATTTGAATCAGGGGTCCTCCTTTGTTACTCGTTCCTCCTTGTGTTTCTTTCCGGTATCTGACCTCCCCACTTACCTCAGGGCTTTGATCACCATTCCCCAACTAACCTAGTTTAAAGCCCTCCTCACTAGGTTTGCAAGCCTGCCCGTGAAGATGCTCTTTCCTCTCTTGGTTAGGTGGATCCCATCTCTTCCTACAAATCTTAGTGCCCGGAACAGAGTCCCATGGTCAAAGAAACCAAAGCTCTCTCTCTGACACCACCTGTGCAATCACGTATTTACTTCCTCAATTTCATGATCCCTATCTGGACCTCCTGGTAAGCAGCACGCCTCTCAAGATTCCAGGTCCGGACGGCAGATGGATGGCTCAGTCCCTCTTAGGAGGGAGTCCCTGACCACCACCACCTGTCATCTTCATTTGGGGATGGTTGTCATGGAACCTCCATTCCTAGGTCTACTCATCCCATGTCTTCTGGTAGATGGTGTTCCCTTCTGATTTCTTCCCTGAGAGGTCCCTGCCAAAGCATTCTCTACTACAGTGCCTGTGGAGAGAGCCTGAATGCAGTTACATACCTCTACAACAGTGTTTCTCAAACTGTGCTTCGCGGAGCCCCAGGGCTCCATGAGGTTGACAAACTGGAAACATCAATAGGTACAACACATGCAATCAGTGGACTGCTGGGGCTCCACATACATTTTTACCCCTGTAAAGGGCTCTGGAGCCCAAAAAGTTTGAGAACCACTGCTCTACAGGAATTGGGGCATACCTGGGTTGGCTGCCTTTTTCTAAAGGTTACATGCTGCAAGTTCTCTTCCTTGTCCTGTACTGCCCTCTCTGGCTCTTTGGCCTGCTGTGCCTGCAGGATTAAATGCTGCCTTCTGTCGAGGAAGTCTTCATCCTCTCTGATGGAACGTAGGGTTGATACCTGGGCCTCAAGTCCTCTAATTTTTTCTTCCAAAATGGTGACAAGCTTGCACTTAGTACAGATGATATCCCTTGTTTCTTCTGGAAGGAAGACAAACATGACCCATTCTGTGCAGGTAACAGCAGACCTAGCACTATCCATACCTGCCTTCCTACGGAGAGATTCCTCAGATATTTTTAAATGCCTCTCCACCAGGCCACAACACAGCCCCCCAAAAGCCACACTTTGCTGAGCTCTTCTTGGATGTTTTTCAGGGAAACTCCCCTGTAGGATGCTCTCTGCATTTGCTCTGGCTGCCTTTTTTACAAGGCTGAGACTAGGCCCAGCTCAAAGCCTTGCCTCTGATGCAATAAACCCCAGAAGGCCCACCTAAACTCAGGAAGTTTTGATTATAGTTTAGAGCCATGGTCATCAACCGGTCGATTGCGATTGACTGGCTGATCATGAGGCATTTGGGGGCCCCCCACCCCCAAGAAGCCCCACTACCTACCTCCAGCGTAGTGCTGGCTTCCCGCGGGGTGGACAGAAGTCCTGTGTGAAGCCCGTGTCACTTCCAGGGGTTCTGGAAGTGTGCTGGCTGCTCCCCACTCACAGACACTGTGTGGAGATTCATCTTGCTCCCTATCAAATGCCACTGATTAGTCCAAAGCCTCACAGCCTCCCCGGCAGGGAGTTCCACAGATTAACACTACACATGCCAAGGGGCCAGGACACAGACCAGTGGTTACAATACATGGAGAAGCACCCTACACCAAGGGCGGTCCTGTATGCAAACAAACAACACGGGGGAGAATGAGTGGGCCCAAGCCACAGTACTGTGGTGTCACCTGGGCTCAGGGCAGAGGGCGTGGAGTGTGGGGACAGTGGCTGGACTGCCTGACTGACCCATCCTTTCCTCTGTTCCCTGCAGCAGGACCAAGCAGGAGCAAGGGACCCTCTAGCCCTGTGGCAGTGGCAGCACCCCCAACCACCGAGGCACCAAGCCGGTTGGTCAGGCAGCAAGACCAACTCCTCTGGCGGCATGTACAGGCTGTCGAGAGGATCGAGGTGACCATCACATGATGGTTGATGCTGACCTGGAGTGGCACCAGCAGGCCTGGGGGCGCTTCCAGGCTCAGCATGACCGCATGTGTGATGCTGTCACTGCCCTCGCTGTGCACATCGGGCACGCTGTGCACTATGGGATGGCATTGCCCCATGCACCTGCCATCCCTCCCATGGCAAGGCCCTCCTGATGCACCCCAACCTGCCTACGTCCCCGTGCTGCCTGCCCCGATGCGGCCTGAATGCCATGCAGTTGTCCACCCCCTCAGAGGCGGTCACAGGGGCCACCCCTCCCAGCAGTAGCTCCCTCCAGTTCAGAGCCCCCTCCCACCTCCCACCCTACATCCCCATTGTAAATAAAAAGTTCAATACATTGTTTTCCACAAAAACCTTTGTTGTTTATTCCCCAGTAAGGGGAGGGAAGGGTTGGGGACAGGAGGGAGATGTCAAGGGAGGCAGAGGTGACCCTACTGTGAGGTCTGGGAGAACATCTCCGTCAGGACCTCCCATATGTGCACCCCATCATGGTGCACCTGGGAGATTGCAGCTGTGCAGGGTTGCTTGAAGGCCTGGCCCTCGCCTGCCATCCATGCCGGGAGGAAGGCCTCCCCCTTCTGCTCCACAATGTTGTGGATCACACTGCACGCAGCCACTACTTTGGGGATGTTCCGCTTACACATCTCAAGATGAGTGAGCAAACAACAAAACCGGGCTTTCAGATGGCCAAAGGCACACTCAACCTGTTTGCAGGCACAATTAAGGTGGTCGTTGAACCGTGCCCAGTCGTGGTCTGTCTGCCCTGTGTAGAGCCACATCGACCAGGGCAGCAGGGGGTAGGCCACGTCCCACACAATACATGTGGGCATGGGCACGTCCCCAACAATAAATTCCCGCTGGGGAAGAAAGCGCCCACCTCTAGCCTGCAAAACAGGCCAGAGTGTTGTAGAATGTGGGTGTCATGTGCCCTGCCGGACCAGCCCACATAAATGTCCGTAAAGCAGCCAGGGTGGTCCATGAGGGCCTGGAGCACGATAGAGAAGTACCCCTTGCAGTTTATGAAATGGGCCACTCGATGATCCAGGGCATGGACGGGGATGTGTGTTGCATCCAGGGCTCCCCTGCATTTGGGGAACCCCAGGGCAGCAAATCTGGCCAACATTGTGTCCATGTCCCGCAGGTGGATGACTCACTGGAGCAGAACGTCGTTGATGGCATGGACGACCTGCAGAAGGGTGCACAGAAACACAGGGGAATGCATCACATAAGGCAGGATGTTTCCCTCCCCCCTCCCCATGATACCCTCTGTCCTCACACACACCAGGGTCCCCTCACCCCACGGGCCACACACCCCACCAGCAGGCCTGTGCAAGGGAGGGATGGCCCAAACCCTTGAATGATGGGGCATTCCCCATCGCCCCAGCCTGGAGTCTTGCCTGCCCCTGGGCACCCTCCTCTTCCCCCGCTCCCCCAGGACTTATCTGCATGATGACAACACTGACGGTCAATCTGCTCACCCGGAACTGGTGTGCCACTGATCGGTAGCTGTCTGGAGTTGCCAGCTGCCAGAGTGCGATGGCGACCCTCTTGTCCACGGGGATGGGTGCCCGCAGCCGGGAGGTGCTTCTCTGAGCACATGGGTGAGCTAGGAACACAGCTCCAGGAACGTCTACTTTGGCATCCGAAAGTTCCAGAGCACGTGCTGGTCGCCCCATTGGCCCAGGACCAGACAGTCCCACCAGTTGGTGCTGGTGTCCAGGACTGGCTTTAGGAAGTGCGGGGCCCAATTTGAACAGTTTTGGCGGCGCCCCACCACCCAGACAATCACTCACGCCCCCACAACCACACACAAATATTACATCAGAAGTAGATCTGATCAAAATGTATATCAATATAGTTGAACATTTTCCAAAAAAATGCCATCCTTTATCATGCAAAATTTTACACAAAATTAAATCAGTTGCCTTAAGCGTAGGTCAAATATTTTCAATTGCAAACTA